GAGTTAAATTAACACTCTCTGGTGTGGACCCATATAGACACTTTAATAGTGTTGAAATCAAATCCGACAGTGTTAATTTGGACATGCTGGATTTGCTGTGTAGAAAAAGAATGTGTCTGTGTGAGATTACAGATTTTTGTTAATTCACTTATATTTCTTTTTAATTCACTTATATTTCTTTTTCACGTGAAATGCCTCTGTTGATTGCCAATAGTTAACCACATAGTGAGCTCAGAGGTGCTAGTAGGCAGATTGTATTACCTGTGGACAAAGTCAGGTCGGTTGATTCTCCTTGTACTCAGTTACTCTTTGTATCTACTGTAGCTTGATAGTTACACTGGCAGTCTGTTTATCTAAATCTAGAAGTCTATGCTCCCTATAGGTTATGACATAGTTCTATTTTAACAATTAAACTCTCATGTGAAATAAGGTTAAGGATAAGCTTTATCTGTCAGTTGCCTGCAGCTGAAATGACAGACCTAGTCGACCATACAGGCAATACATACAGTATACAAACTTACATTGGGGAGACAGGCAGCAAAAACAGGGATAGATAGTGAAATATGTAACATATAGGGGCAAAGTCAGGAGAAGAAAAAGGGTTTCTGCCCATGATGACTTCCAACAAGTGATTCATCATGAGGAGAAAACAAAAAACTCCATACCACATAAAGAAGCACAGATATCATCACACTATATGCCATGAAACACACAAGCAACGTAAGGGCGAGGGTACGCCGACGTACACAGTGGTCACCGTATACATACACCTGTGTCACGAAATTGGGCAGAATTACTCAAATGAGCATACCAAGTTATGTTTAATGTTGGAAAAGAATCACTTTTAACCCAAATCACAAATGTTTCCTAATTGCAACTAATTAGCAAATTTAAAAAAAAAAATTGTGCCAGATAATCTTAGACTCAATTCAGTTTGATTTATATATTATATAGCACCGAAGCACACCAAAAGTCACCTCAAGACACTGTCACGGGGCCGAGTGACCTGTACTGAACAGGACTCAGGTGCAGAAACCCAGAGCAGAGACAGCAGATGATGTAACAATTTATTAGGTTTAAGTGCAAAAAAGCAAAGACAAAAAAACAAAACAAAAAAACA